GCCTGATTAGTTTTAATTGGATATTTATTACCTAATTTGCATAATGTTCCACTGATATATATAAAGAACCACAAATTGGATTTTAATGAAACTTTTAAAGAGAACTATGCAAAAACCCAATTAGTTTTTGGTAAATATTTATGCTTATTAATCACCTAATTAATATAATTAATTAACATTGATATCTCAATTACTGATCATCACATTTGAATAAAATTTGGCACATAAATGCTCTAGGACAATAGACAGGCCTGATTAATTTTGGGTTAAAATTTGTTCATATTAATTCTCTAATTAGCATAATAATTCATAATTTTTTTGTTCTGTTCTGTTTATATTAGTTACCTGATTTACATAATTAGTTTTCAGCTTTTCCATCAATATCTCATGTACAAGTAATTTTGAATTAATTTTTAATGTGTCTTCAATACTCTCAGCACACGGGAGTTCTTTCTAAGCTTTCTTTGATTTTTTGCTGTTCCATGACAGTTCCACTAATATATAAATAACCACTCATTGGATTTTTGTGAAACTTGGTACTTGAATACTCTGAACTTATGTACAGATTTGATTAGTTTTTGGTAAAAATCTATGCATATTAATTACCTAATTTACATAATGATTAGTCAATTTTCGGCTTTTCCACTGATATCTATAGTACTAATCATCACATTTCAATGAAACTTGGTGCTTAGATGTCGTAGTTTTCCGCTTTTGATATTTCAAGTAGTAATCGTCACATTTCAATGAACCTAAGACTATGCAGAGACCCAATTAGTTTTTGGTAATTATTTATGCATATTAATCCTTTAATTAACATAATTAATTAAGTTTCAACTTTCACACTGATATCTCAAATACTGATACTCACATTTCAATAAGACTTGGTACATAATTTCTCTAGGGCAATAGGCAGGCCTGATTAAGTTTGGATTAAAATCTGTTCATATTAATTCATAGTTTTTTTATTCTAAACATATTCAAGTAATTTTGAATTTGTCTCCAATACTCTCAGCACACGAGAGTTCTTTCTAAGCTTTCTTTGATTATCCAATCATGATTATTTTCAAACTTGGATATTAACCAGTTTGGAATCTTGACCAAGTTTGATTACGGTACATAATGTATGTCTATGTATGTTTTTCAAGATGTTCATCAAATTACACTTAAAATTGTATTCTTCTTGTGGTTACAGTGACTTAAAGGGGGGCAAGTGTTTTTTTCGTACAACGTAAACTGAAAAAATAAATTCCGTAATTCTGTAATCACAGGCTGAACGTACAACGTAATCAATCAAATATGTCATTTTTTCTCGGCACGTACAAGAATTTACATCCAAATAAAAAAATCGTAAGGAATAATCCAAGGAAATTATATTTTAGAAACTATAAAACGACTAGATGACACAATTCACTGCAAATTGAATGTCAAGACGTAAAGGGTCTTCTCACCAAATGAAGAGCATTACGATGGTAATTTGCGCATGCGTCTCTACACACGGTGCAGCAATGGCGCAGAATTTGAGTCGGAGAGCTCTTCGGACGATTTAATCACTGTAAAAACGTCTTTTTTCGTTGTAAAAAGCCCTTTTTATTTCCCGTAAACTGTACCAGCTACGCCCCCCCTCCTTAAACAATTCTTATCTGATCTTCAAATTTCGGAATCTTTGCTATGAAATGTCAACCAACGTGAATGTTGGTGCAACATGCTAGTGCTATTATGGCATAGAATTAAACAATACATTTGTTAGAGGTAGAAATAAGTGGACAGAGTGAAGATATTTATCCTGATAATGAGAACCAGATGTTAGTAATATGCTCTCCAAGATCTATGGATAAGTGTAGTAAACGTATGTTACAAGAATAACTCGGTGAAAATGCAATGCGCATTTCTCGCCTTTTTTTCGAATCTGGCTAGTATTTTATTTTGTTTGAATGTATTACTGCACTATTTGAGAACTATTTTACTATTCATGCAATATGTTATACAGTTCATAGAGATTAGTACAGTATCCTCAGACAGAGCTACGCAAGACGCGCACCACTGTACCACTTATTTCGATGGGCTCTGTGCGAACTGCTGTGGAATGCCGATCAAAGAGCCAGTGAAAATAGCTAAATTAAAAAAAAACAACAAAAAAACACAAACTCAAAATTATATATGATTTGTTTAGCCTGATTTGAGCAATGTCCTTAGATAATATATTGCATTATTTCAAGACTTTTATATATACATCATGTTGCACATGTGCAGATTTATTCATTTGGTTATCTGATACGAAAATGGCGAATAATTGATTCCGAGTAATGTCTTACATGTCAACACTGAATTATTTGATAACAAACGTGCAGACTTGAGCACCCCTGTCGAACATAGTGGAACTTTTGATATGCAAATAATTGTTTACTTTTCAACCGTTGAAGTATAAGCCAAAACAAATACCACAGACAACTTTGACAGGGATATTGCAATGTTCCAAGGGAGGTTAGTTGTGATTTTCATGATCAATTTAATATGAAGCTCGCTGTAATAGCGCCATCATGCGGTATATTGTTGTCCTATCAATGCGCATGCGTGGTGTCGATTATATTCAAAATGGCGGTGAAAACAAACTTGTAATCGTTGTTGTGAAGTGGTAACAATTATTCAGCGCTGAACTTATTTCCTGTTTGAATTTTAAGCATTTTCAGCTCAGATGAATTCCATAGAAGCATTTATAAAGTCGGGGTAAGTCTACATAGTCATCATATTCATATAGAAATCGTTACATGTATAGCTGTTACACACAGTGACGTTAAAAGTAGAACGTGCATGTTTTGACACGAAACCAACTCAAAACTACATGTAGGTTCTATAATTATATATTTAATATTTCCTGATATTTTTCTCCGTTCAGCCGTGGATAATACGAGTGACGTAAGAACCGTATCACTACGAGTCGAAGACTGCTCTTACGCAACGAGAATTTTCCCCAGGTGAACGAAGAAAAATATTCAGAAATAATATCACATGCACAAGCCAAATATTGTTAGTTTCTTCATGGATGTACTAACCCTCGCATAATTTTAATTCATAATTAAACACTGTTGTTTTAAGAGCTTTGATAGTCCCTAGAATTCCATCTCATCATCATTGAATAAAAAAAATATATACAGACACGCCTGAACGTATTTACCCACCGCATCACGCGCAATTACTATCTATTACTATAATCTGTGATATCATTCAATAAATAAATTTGATTTGAAAAAAAATATATTTATTAATGAATAATAATGCACACACAATTAACACATAAAATTGCATAGTTGTTGTCAATAATGTGCCTCTCAACCTCTGAGCTGTTTTGGCATACCAACACGTTTCACCTGAAACTGTTCCCAAGCTTGAGTCTGCATGCATGTAAATCCTTGATGTTAGAGACTGACCGAGGAAGCAACAGTAAGTTCGATCAGCTCCCAAAGATTCTTAATGGCAGTCAAATCCAGAAATTCTGCAGGCCAATTCAATGTGGTGAAATTGACAAAAACATATCCGTAGTCTTGTGGATTATTTAAAAAATTCTTCACAGCTAATGATATATGAACAGGTGCATTATCCTGTTGTAAATAGTCCAATGAGTCTCAGTGCTGATTGTATCATTTAGTTTTGCAATATATCTTCGATTCCTGATCGTCGGTAAATGCACAAGCGATTCTAAACTTGTAGCCTAACCCCCCCCCCCCCCCCCAACACCATGACTTTTTGATTATAGGTTGAATGATGAATGAACTTAACTCGTACTGTAACTCTCACCTGGTATCCAACGTACAGTCAATCTTCCACTTCTAGGAAACAGTGTAAACTTCAGATTTGTCTGACCAGATAACTTATGCCTACTGCACAGTCTGTGTTGTTTGGCAAATTGCAACCACACTGTGATGTGTCTGGGTTGTAGTTCTGGTTTTATTTTAGCAACACAGCCTAGAAGATTACCATCCTTATATAGCTTTGATTTCATGCAAACTTTTCTCAGTGAGTTGGTTAAAATTGCCACGCAAATCACGGGCAGTGTGAACCCGACTTGCTGAACTTGAATGAGTAGCTCGTCTTTAGTTTTCGTTGTACGCCTTGGTTGACCTTACCCCAGCTGCCTCTGTTTGTTTCTCTGCTTTGCTATTAAAAATAGACTCAGTACATTTGCTCGACGATTTGTCTGAAACCTTATCCATTATCTATTAAAATACTAATCTTCACAATATAAGGGTGTTGTATTTTACTATGTCTGAAATTTGTAGTGTTGACCCGTTTGCTGAAGACCCATTGCCAAAGGGACATTATTATCCATCACTTGAAAGAAAACTTAAGCATCAGGATAAACAGGTTTGTATTTTGTGGTGTATGGTATTTTCTCAATAATGATTATAAGCTTGATTATTTGATTGATCACAAATCTATACGGCAATCATATTAATTTAATTTACTTTTCTTGTGAATAACTTATTAGATTTTCCTTAGCCCAGAGAAAAATCCAAAGATGGTTGATGAGCCTGAAAACGAATTAACAAAACAGAGTCCAGGAATTGAAGAATTTTTGGCAAAAACAAACACATACTCAAGAAGGGAATTACCCACCCATGACACACCTAGTCCAAAGGATACATCATCAAAATTTGATGAATCCTGGCCATCAAGTGAGAGACCCTCAACGATAGTGAGTCCTGAATATTTCAGACCCCCATCTGCTACTGTGCCCCCAAGTAGTATAGCCGATATAATGAGAAGTACGCAAAGATCTACTTTTGATGATTTTGATAGAAGGAAATCACAGCCACCTACTCCACCTGAGGACTCTACACTTGCCAAGTAAGTTTAGTATTGTATTTGTAGTGCACCTAACACCATACAACAAGTGGTGTATGTACTTTGTCCAAAATTGCAAAGAAATTTAAAAGTATTTGCACCAGAATGTGTTAATGAAAAATAGTAAAGAATTATTTTTCTAATATATGTTTTTATAATTCTATCAATGTTAGATTCATACATCGGTTTCGGTATGCTGAACCAAAAAGCAGAGAAGAAAGGTCAAAAAATGTTGGGGAGAAGGCACAAGATTTTTGGTGGTTATCTCCTCCAACCAGAAGTTCCACACCATCAGATATTAGTGTATCACAGGGCCCACAAGGTTCTAGTCCTAGAAGGCTGAAAACTGGAAGATCGGCACGATCTCCTAAAAGTCCATTCAAGATTAGTCAAGTTAGAGGAAGATCATTGGATAAGAAAAGTACAACCTCCGTCACCTCGGTAGGTTTGTAGTTCCTAGTAGTTAATGCAGTGTGGCAATAATATAGTACTGGGTAACTCAAATAAGCGTAGCACATGGGGGAAGGTATTTTTCTAACATGAATGCTTGACCATTACTATTGCCCATATTTGGACATTGCTATACATTATCTGATGATACAGTATTACTTATTGCATTCAATTGGCCCTGAATCTGCATAACATTTTGACATTAATGTTGGCACCTTTTTTAGGTGTTGCATGGTTTGTGGTATAAAAGTAAAAGCATATTTACCCCAGACCATTCGTCCCGGTGTTATCGCTATCGCCACACGAGACTCCAGCTTGTCTCCTATACAATTTGACTGCGCACATCCAGAAAGTAGATGTAGCTGTGATTGGTGGAATACTAATGAGTTGAGTGTCAATCAAACGCTCACGCTATCTTTAGTAAACAAAGTCACGTGACACGCGCCATTTTAGTTTTGATTAGTTCATCGGATCGGAGTGGTCGGGCAGGCGATTTCAAGGCAGCACGCTTAACCCTTTCGTTCACAGGTTGGGAGATATTAGAATGACTGACAATTTCACGCCACTGTTTTACATTATTGGCGGATTTTTCTGCGCTATCAATCTTTCTCTTACAAACTAGACATAGATGAGACGACAGAGTCGCTCCTTTCACAACGTCGCACTGGATCAAATTGGAAAGACGATTTCCATAAGTTATCCCTCCTGCTTTTCCTGGCTTGAATAAATTCACACACGACTTTAACTGTCCACAAACTCGAAGACTACACGAACACAGTCTACAATAGTCGTCCGCAACAATATGTATGTATTTCTTCGGTGTACTGATGCACGAATGCACCGTGACACGCCTGTGCCGTGACACGGTGTTTCTCGGGTGTCGCCATCGCTGAGAATGCCGCCGGCGCAATTTTTCACCCAACTCGCGATTCTGTTTTGCAACATTTTATCAATATTCCCTTTGACAAAATCGCCGACAAAAGCACCGCTTTGCTGATCTTTTGTTCTATAATTCTTAATGCAAACACCGACCCTAGTAGTAATTAGTAACGTCGCCTAGTACATATGAACGGTCGGGCAGGCGATTTCAAGGCACCGCACTTAAATATTAGCAACATATTTTTCTGAGCGGTTGTTTATTCTCTTTCAAACGAGACATAAAGGTGACGACATAGTCGATCCCTTATCCACCGCTAAGAATGCCGCAATGTTTCGTTCGTTTTGCAACATGCCACAAATCGTCGAAAAAAACACCACTTCGACGGAAGCTTGCGTAATAAGGGGGTTAAAACAAGAAAACAAATGCCATGTTTAATACATATCGACCTGTTTTACTTGCGAAAGATAACGGAACATGAACTCGTTTCGTGCGACTTCGGAACCCGAAGGAACACACCAACAACGTTGAATTTACCCGCTATCTTCCAAATATGGTATATTAATTTATTCAGTTGTTTATTTAGAGTGACGTCCGCGGTCGAATGCGATTGGCTATCGATGTCAGTGCAAAGGTCATATGAATATTAAAATTAAGTGGGCGGAAGGAAAATTGTATAGGAGACAAGCTGGAGTCTCGTGTGGCGATAGCGATAACACCGGGACGAATGGTCTGGGGTAAAGCATATTAATACAAGCAAATCAAAATAAATGTCACTCCAAATTAATCACGTCCAAACAGTGCTATATTGATTTCAGAATTGATTATATGGTCATCAGTGTGTCTGCAACTTGCACACTGTCTCACATTGAATCAACCCCTCTTTCATTTCTTGGTTGTTTGTCATTGCTATAATAAATAAAGATCAGAGACGACCAATATTTATCCCAACACAGAGAACCAATGCAGTTATATCATGAAATTTTCAAAATAGATCATCAATATGATATTGTAATGTGCGTATTTTTGTGTGATAATGTCTGTTTCGTCATTTTAAAAATGTTCCGGAAATCAATGATGATGCAACTCAAAATGCAATATTCCCTACTTATCTGACACATTGTAATAAAAACTATCTTTTGGATAATTGTTCGAGGAGGGTGCTCGACTATGCATCCACTTCCTAAAAAACATGATTTTTCAAATTGAGTACCCTGGGTGAACGAGTATGGGTCGGTATTTCATCATTTTTGTTATCGTGATGAAAAAGAGCAAGGTATAGAGAGAGTTCATGTATGTTGTCATTGGATATTGATTTTGCTTTAATTTTGTGAAAGGAGTCACAGTGGCAGGGCTAGTACTTAAAGGGTTGAGACGACACCGTTTTAATTGCCTTAGCACACAGGAATACTGGTACTTCACATAGAAATATGTATGTTTTGAAAGCACAAAGACAATTCTTTGGGCATTGCCGTCAAGACCTGAAGGGACTTTCATGAAACTTATAGTGGTAATCTCACTACATTGTATGTGTTTTTAATCACTATTTATTGCATGTATTGCTTTGAAAATATCATACATAATTTTTATGTATATTCTGTGTTGCAGGGTGAATCAATACCATTAGACTTTCCTGATGATAGACTGACTAGTAATCTTCAAACCAGAGCTCAGAAATTACTTGAGAGAAGGTAAATTATCATATTGTTATTGACTTCTGTATGGGAAACTCACAATGACTTTGCCGTTACCCTGTTTGTGTCTGTCTATCACAAATTCAAAATAATGCATGCAACTGAGATCTTTATGACACAGAATAAAGTAGTTTATTCAATCAAAGATGTAAATTAGATCATTCTTGGCATCTATAAGTGGTGGCAATGAACTCAAGATTACTAAAGAAATATTATGATGTATGTGTTAAAACGTCATTTGTTTTTGCCACATGCCTATTGTTTCGTTTACATTGTGAGTGAATGTTCTCTTTTTGGTGAAATTCTTACTAGTGTGGTGCAGTGCAAGGTGATTTGATCTCTGGTTGTGATCACTGGAAAAGTACTGTAAAAGGATTAATTATTCACTGGATTTTAATTTTATAGCTTATATCGCTGACTGGAAAACGCACTAAATTAAAACCGAGTGAATATGTAAAATTTAGCATAGAACACATTATCTAAATGATAAAACCGTGAATTTAAAACCCACTGATTATGCCTGAAATGGTAAATCATCGAAATTTAAACCCAGTGAAAATCAGTCATTTTATAGTACCACACAGCAAGGTGATATTGAATGCAATTAATAAACATGACACAAAAGTATTGCAACCCACTTTATTTCATTTCTTGATATAAATAATTTCCATGCTTAGTATGCTTTAAAAGTTGGGAACAACTAAAAGGATACAATATTGAACATTTTTTGAAAGATTGCAAATTAAAAAGATATTTTAATAATTTAAAAATAACATGTTCACCTTGTTTGTCGTCAAGATGTTCCCGTCAACAATTTTTTTTATTTCTCAATAGTGAAAGTACAATTCTGAGTGAGCCCAGAGTATCATCAGAAGGATTAGGTAGTACCACTACCAGTAGTTTTCATGAGGAGCCCATATATAGACCAAGATACAGTGTCACAAAGCATGGTATGTGTTCATTACAGTGTATTAACAAATGCTACTGTTTGTCATTACAGAATCATGGATAGAACTTTGTGAACATCTTTACATTACCACAACTAAATTGCTTACCATGCACATAATATGACGAGTTTATATTAAAGCGTCACAAGTTGCCACACTATGCACATTCAAACTTCCTTGTTTTTTACAAGTGTTGTATACATCGTATGGGGCCGATATCAAACATGATACAGTGCAGCGACTGTGGCACGTCAATACAATGTATGCCACTGTCTTCGCATTCTGTAAAATTTGTGTGGATGTGACATTGTTTTTAGCATTATTTGACGTGATGGATATGAGTGTGAGACGTACGATAACCCAGGCTAAAACCAAATGTTTTACACAAATCTTGTAGGAAGGCACTGAAAACCTACTTAGACTGGTAATTCTTTGTATTATATCATCACAGATAAGGAAAATATTCACCATACTGAAATTGATCGGCCATACAGGCCCAGAAGACAGCTAGCACCAGAGAATGATATATTATATCAATGGAGATTAAACAGGAAACTAGAAGAAGCTAGACAGCAAGCAGTGGACCCTACAAGACCAGTATTGACATCTCGGTTGAGATCACCACCAACAAGACTTAGCCCAAGAAAACCTACAAAGGTATGTATTTTATTTGACTATACAATATACTAAACATCTTTTATTTGCTAAGAGA